AAAAACTATATTTGAAATGTAAGCATTTCCAAATTTGGGTATTACACCTCGTTCTGCTTTGATACAATTGATTTTTATGAAGTGATTTATTTTTAATGAAATCTCTAATAGAAGAAATATTGAAAAAGAGGGGGGAAGTGTGTGTGTGTGTGTGTGTGTGTTAAGCGTGTGCGTGAATTCGATTGCGTGTATGTGGTCCTTGTTTTTAATTTCTGGGTGTAGTGCTTTCCACTGTATGTGATTTTCAGCAATATGTTCTATCATGAATCAATTCTTGAAAAGAGTGAGGATGCCAGAGCCTCAAGAAAAATATGTAATTATCGCTGTGTACTACTATGAAATCTACCTTTCTAAATAGTTTCTTTGATATTAATCAGATTACAGATTAACTCAACGTTAAGGCTTGTTCAGATATGGCTCGGTTAACAACAAAAAAGCGCCGCGCTTTTGCAGCGTCTTATGTGAAGGAGCCTTTACATTTAATGGTTGGCCGTTTCCTTGTTTCAATGGAGAAGCATCTAGGTGCGCGGCTTAGATTCTTACAAGTGATGCTGACGGTTCCAGGACACCTACCCCCTGGACATCCACCCCCGGATAACCACCCCAGTCAACTACCCCTAGGACAACTACCCCTGGGACAACTACGCCCCCCGGACAACTACCCCAAGTAAACTACGCCCTATGACTATCCCCCGGACAACTGCCCCCGAACATCTACCCCCTAGAACAACAACCCTCGGACAACTACCACCCGGACAACTATCCCCAGAAAACTACCACCTACCACTTATCAAACTGTGACCTACTGGCCAAACCTACTCGAGTATGAGTAAGAAATATATAGATCTCAATAATACATATTCTCTAGTTCAAGAGAATATACAACTACCCCAGACAACTACCCACTACGACAACTACCCCAGACAACTACCCACTACGACAACCATCCTCTTGAATTGCAAGGTAATGGTCTTAAGATTGCTCAATTAAATGTTAATCGTCTTCCCAAACATATTGAAGAAGTGAGAACATTATTTTGTAAAATCGAATGATATTCAGATTGTTGCTGTAAATGAAACAAAAATAGATGTATCTAATTATGATGATAAAGTCATTGACAATTTTAACTTGGTACGCAAATACAGAGTTTGACAGAGAGGCGGGGTCGCCATATGTTTTCACAAATCTTTACATTTTGAAAAACTAACGCATGAAACCCTAGATAATTTAGAAGCAATAGTAATAAAGGTGCGTCTTAAGCTTGCAAAAAACCCTCGTCATATCAAATTGTTATAGACCGCCCTCTTCAGACGTTGGAATCTTTAATTTATATAACCGGTTTTTTAGCTTTATTGACATAATGAACTGTAACACAATTTTATTAGGAGATGTAAACTGTGACCTACTGGCCAAACCTACTCGAGTATGAGTAAGAAATATATAGATCTCAATAATACATATTCTCTAGTTCAAGTTTACAGAAATGAAGCAACCAGAATTACAAATGCTTCTGCTACATTAATTGATCATCTCTTAAAGATACTATGTCCCTTTTGCAGCCAACATCAAATTTTGTAGAACTTTGCAGGAACTACGAATATCTCATGTATGTCCTATTTGTGAAATTTAAACGTTTGTAGTGTCCTAAGGCCTAAAATAAAAACTTGTTATATTGCCCTTTAGGTGCCAAAACATTTGTCGGTCGGAAAAGATTTTTTTTTTTTTTTAAACTTTTTTTTTTGTCGCCCTCTTTTGGCCGATATTTTCCAGTTTTGAATGTTTTTTTGTTTTTCCCGCCCTCTTTTGGATGATATTTCTCAGTTTTTAATGCTTTAATACATGTGTTTCAGAGTCATCACTCCATTCATATCTTTTTCACCTTATAATAATCCATGGTTTGCAATGTTGTGTTGAGACAACACCCTGTGCTTTCCTGCTGACGAAGTTGGTTTTCAACTACCTGTAAAACTTGCTAACAATGTGAAGATTGTTTGGAATAATTTGATTATATGCATTTATATCCTAAGTCAAACAAAATACATATTTTTTATTCATTAATACAAAATGTTAGTTCACCTTATTTGTTATTTGGGGGCTCCAGGACGACGCCCCCGCCAACCACACCCCTATTTTTAATTTTTGCCGGGGGCTCTTACCCTAATATCGTTCAGTAGGTCCGAAGGAAGCCCTGTACCAAAAATGGCGCTTGTATCCGACCTGTAACGATAATCGATACATTTGACGCTAAGCCACCTGACATACATATATCTATCCACACCACCTATCTCTTCATCTATTTTTTCTCTCACTTTCTCCCCCTCCATTTCTCTCTCTCTCTTTCTTCCACTCTTAACGTGTTTCATTTCTCTTTTTGTGACAGTCTAGTATATATGTATTCTGATTTTTTTTTCGTCTGTATATTCATTTAGTATATTTTAATTCAGTTAACCTACACGCAACAAGCCTAGGTTTTAAGGAAGTTCATTTTTAATTTCCGTATTCAATAATTTACAGAACATTCTTTCATGTCATTATTTACTTCCATATTACTTAAAGAAATGTTATACGTTGTAAAATACATTATGTTTTGTTAATTTCGCATGGAATATGAATAATTAATATTTACAAAATCGATGATCGTACATTTTTTTCCAGGTACAATCATTCCTAGTCTTTTGACTGAAAATGTGATTGTGAATGAGTTCGATATGTTTTTTTAATTTAATAAACCATCTAATTCAACTTGACCATGCTGGCTTTTACAAACCCTGTTGACTGCAGCTAGGGCCCACAAGAAAATCGGAATTAATACTGATGAGGCTACCCTGGGTAAACAAGACATAATAGTATCATCATTATTATTACTGTACATTTACTATTATTGAAAATCATGCACTATAACGATGCTGGAGTTAATATTTAACATTATGTATGACAAAACGCGATGTGAACAAGTCCAGATATTCAAAGACGGGGAATTTCCAACATGTTATTGCCACTATATTGACAGGTGGGCGTTGGGTATTTTTGTATGCACCGAAAAAGTCACTCGGAATGTCAAAGTGACGTGTACTTAAATTTTTGTTAAAGGGGCACGAGCTGATTCTCGGCCACTAATCCATCTCTGCTTATTATTGAAAATCGTATGGCGGGATAACGATGAGGTCAAAAAGGGGTAGATTTTACTCATGTGAATTATTGCGATTAAAATGTTTTCGCTTCTATTGCTATAGCCACACAAAAATACCTCCATTGTAATATTCAAGTGGCCGTGAAGATCTTGAAGCCCGTCTCCTAGTAAAATACCTAGGGATAATGGCGCCCGTTGCTATATAAGAGTTGGGTTCCCCACCCCCTCCCCCCACTGCCCCATTGTCCAAACTTATCGACGTTACTGTAAAAGAGAGAGTAAAAAGCGACCTGCGGCAGATATTTTTAATAAAAAGTTTAACCCTTTACTCGGTAGGAATGAAAGTGTTTCTCTATTTACTGCTTCCTCAAATGAAGGTTAAAATTGATGAGAACTTTCATAAATATAATCGAGGAAATAAGCATGGCTGTAGATTCCTTTCAAATGCGGAGCCTTTGCCGATACATGTACGTGTACCATTATTACACTTTTTCATAGCAGTTGGGCGCAATTAATGCCGATGTTACTCCTTTAACAGGGAGCAAAGCAAAGAATATTATTTTTTGGAGCGTTCAAAAACTCAATTCATATTAAGCTATATCTCCGATATTGCTATCGACATTGCGAGATCCTGAAGAACAAATGCCAGCGAGCAAAGAGACCAAGCTTTGGGTTTTTTCCCTCTCATTTTAAACTCAACTCTTGATTTATAATTCTGTACCCTGCGTATTCAAGGAGAAAATAATCCTTAAGAATCATATATATCCCATTTCACCCCTTTCGTTTTCTCTCTTTTGTGTGGGTTTAAAACAAAAGATTTTGCTCCCTTCTAGTGAGGTCCGGGGCTCGTTCCTCCTGTCATTCCCCGTTGATACGCCGTTGCCCTCCCCACCTAAGTATTTTACAACTGTATGAAAAAGCGGGATCACAGCTATACCCCAGCCGAGCTTCTCATTTCGGGGAATTCCAAGCCGTAAGTTACATTTGTTATTCTGTATCGAGACAAGATGTCTCCCGCTCTTGGGGAAAACCCACACAATGTCTTTTATCGCGTGCGCAGGCAGTACAGGGGTTAGCGCTTTTGTTTGTAGATAAAAGGCATTACTAATTTAATATAACATGGATATGAAAGCTGCCTTATTTGGACGAAAACGAGACAAAAATAGTTATGATAAAGGAATGTGTAATTCTGAATATTTTGATTAGCTCACTTGGTGTTAATCTGAGAAGGGGCACTCACCGGAAATGAAAGGGAAACTTATGAGAACTACATTTCAGGTTTGATATTCTCAAGTTTTCCTTTTTGTTTGTATAACCGGTTATGGTATATAGTATTTTGCTCCAAAATTTACTAGCCCGAATCATTCCATAAAATGCACTATAAACCTTGATATGCCCAGGGGCTGATAAAAAAAAATATAGGCTATTGTAATTAGTAGGTGATGGGTTCAAAAGCACCAAGCTATACGCTCACTTAAAAGTGACAACCCAAAGCCAAATGTGTGCGCGCAAGCATATGTATCGTATGTCGTAAAACTGCACACATATGGTTTTCTGTCTCGTGTGCCTTCTGTCGACTGGGCTGTCCCCCCCCCCCCCTTGATACGCCACCGCCCTGCCCACACCTACACCCCCCAGTGTTTAGTATTTCAAAACTGTATAACAAAGAGGGATCACAGCAAGTCTAAACACGAAATTTGTATTGCTTGTAGCGACAAGCCATTGCGGTCCTTCAACTCGGTGATTTTCCTCGCACTATTATGAATGACCATCAGAATGGCGCCACGTATTGCTATGACCTCACATAAAGAATCCCCTCAGAATATTGCACAATATTGTGACGTGTCACTGAAAACCACCCTTTTCTCACGCACAAACACACTCACACACATGTATTTATTATCTGCCTCCAATCTCCATTCTCCATTCTCCGTTTCGTCGATCATAAGCTCCACATCCGATCTCATCATCTCAATGCACGTTCTCAATCGTACATCTACCTGAAGTGAGAACTACAATTATCTGAAAAGGTATGTATTTTTTGGAAGAATTAATAATTAAATACATTATATTTGAACTGTTTTCAAATTTCTACACGTTTAACTTTATCATTTATCATTACGCCATTATACTTAATTTTTTTAGTATTGCTATTTGTCATAAATCGTAATAGTGGTGTTTTAAGTGAAGAAATAACAGTAATCCGACATTATTTTCGCTCCGGCGGGCTCTGTTTTTTCCAAAGTGTATCTATATAAGAGAGTACTTGTAGGTTTAGAGTAAGGGTTAACAATCGTATCAAGGTAAGAATTCAATCGGTATAGAGAAATGACCGCCGAGCAATTTTTTCGTCGGAGCATCGCAACCTAATCGTAGATCTTTAAAACTTAAAATTGTGTAGATTATTAACCTCGGAAATCCCTGCAAATTGTTATAATTGTGTAAGATGTTGCAAGCGCCTCTGCGTACGAGTCTATTGGTAATATAAAAACATTATTACAAAAAAAATCGACGACAAATTTAATGCCCTTGAGAAAACAAGCACCAAGTATTTCACGTAACTCAAATTGTGTCGACACTCTACCAAAGTAGCAAACGACCTGCACATTTTACCTATATATTGCAGATTATTTTATCAAATAACTTTATAATGTCTGCGACTACGATTTCTAACGCGTGGCTTTGATTTCATAATTACGCTAATTATTTATGTGACAGTCATGTTTGAAACATGGGTCGATCTACTTATCTATCATATTTACAGAATATAGCTGTACCCTGCCTGAAGATCTTCAACTTTTATCTGTTCATTCCTTTTTTGAGAGTTATTGTGTTTTTATATTAAAGTAAACAAATTTGCAAAGAATTGAGGGCAATGTGAAAGGGATTATCAACATTCTCTTAATATTTATAATGAAGGAAAATTAAAAACAAAATGTTCCCAATTTGTATTCGGAGAATTTGGAAAGATAAGTAAATATTCTTACGATTAATCGACCAAGTATATTTAGGTTTTCCCATCCATGTTTACACCTTTTAAATCAACTTCTTACTTCTTTTTTCCATTCAATTTCGCCAAATCAAGTTCGTCGTTCTCGGCTGCCATAATCACATTTATGTCGTACTCATTTTATTTCCAATGTGTTCTAAATGTTTTAAAAACAATATCATTTTTGTCGATTACAGCTGAATCTAACTTCATGTCCCAAATTTTTTTTTAGCAATGACTGATGCAGAATTTTAGCTACAATTATTGCTGCTCTTTAAAGCACCACTGCACTACTTATAGCTACTTACGCCCTTTATATATATATATATATATATATATAGTAAACACTGCCTAATCGGTGACCATTCGTCCCCCATGATCCTCTTTATCTTATGTTAAGTAAGAGCTGATTTGATGAAATTACCACCTGCCAGTGACCTTGCAGGGTGGTCTAATTCCTCCTGTAAACTAGTACAGATGGGCTTTAATACATCCATGCAAGGACTAAACCAGGATTTTTTTTTTAAGGGGAGATGTTTTTTGCCAAATTCGTGAAAAAATATTTAGCGGCGATTAGCCAGCCGGTGAATAAGAATTTTTTAAAATTTGTTTATAAGAAGCTCTTTTTATATTTGCAGTACATGGTTAGTTTTTATGGTGCCATGGGGGGGGGGGGCATACTTCCCTTGGCAGTGTGACCCATCCCAATCATATCATCTTTCCCTAATTTTAATCCATTTTTTAAGAATTAAATATAAATACATGACTTTCCTGCTTGATCCAATCCTTGCTACAATGTATTACCCAAAGAAACAGAATAGCCATCACTTTAAACCTACATAAATAGAATAAAAAATCAAATAAGCAAAAGGTTAATGCAGAAGTGGACGAACCGTGAAACCTGTATATAAAGACCGTTTAAGGGAAATGTGAAAGGTGGTCTTTACAGGCAGGTGGTGCCTATGTACAGGTTCCTCTAATATAGGCTTCAATGAGAAACCATAATCAAGGGAAACCACAAATATAGTCTTTATAAACAGGTGGTCGCTATTAAAAGCAGATTTGTAATAAATAGACATATTATTATAGTAACGCACAAGCTTTGACCACATTAGTCTGTCACTGTGAAGGGGGAAAATTGCTCAAATGAGATTCAGGTACAGTGTACATTGGGTACACGTGGGACACCCTCTTTCCTTTGATTTCCTACTCTGCACGATATTGCACTTTCAAATACAATACAAATTGAAGAAAGAAATAATAGATTCTCTTTCATTTACAAACAAACTTTGTTTGAATGCACTTGAAGTGGTCATGGACCTCTTCAAATCAATGCCAATCAAGGATGTCAACTTCAGTGACTTTGGTGGTTTTAGAATGGACACACTGTACACACTGTACTTTCACTCTGACTCATGTTTCGAAACAGCATTTTATTGTGTGCAGTCAGGGACACAAAGATCATAATGAATTGGACAATCCTTAGTTGCATTCACAATAGTTTTACTTTCGTTTAAGCCGTGAATCGTAAGTATCAATAGGCCATCTTTTTTTATATTACCAACTAATACCTACAGATAAGCTTGATTTCTGGATGATTCTGGAAATTCCCAATACCTCAGCCCAGCTTCTCATTTGGGGGGATTCCAAGCTGTCTGCTACATCTTTTGTTGTGAAATTGTGAAATATCATGACAAGATTTCTCCCGCTCTTGGCGTAGACCCACACAATGGTTTATTTTCGCGCGTGTCGGCTGAGAGGTTCCGGAGCCACCTTTCCAATAGAAAATAGTATACCTACCTTGAATAATGTTGATTCAGAATGTCATTATATTATTTGCAGCGTCCCTCGAGGTAGCATATGTATTCGTTATATAAATGATTTCTCTCAATCGTCTGACATATTGTCGTTCATACTATTCGCCGATGATACTACTAATTTATTTATTTTTCTCACATTTATCCACTTAATTTATCAGAAACTATTGATATTCAACTATTAAAAATTTGAGCGAACAAATTATCTTTGAATTTTCAGAAAACTTAATATATATGGTCTTTAGTTAATCAATAGATTATTTGCCATTAAATATTATGTTTGATAATAATGTGTTAGAAGAGGTGCCTCATACTACATGTTTGGGATTAACTGTCGATAATAAACTTTCATCGAAATGTCATATACTGATAATATTTGTTAAACCATTTCGCGTAATATTGGAGTGATAAATAGATTAAAAAAACTTTTCTCCCAATATCGTCTTTTTAATGTTATGTAAACTAATCGTTAGTATTGCCATACCTGAATTATGGACATCTTGCTAGGGGGAATACGCACGAATGGTTGTTAGGTGTTTTTTTTTTTATTCTTGCGTTAATTACTTAATTTGTTATGACATTATTTGTAGAGGGGTCCACGCTCTACACGTCATGCTTTTTAGTGGATCCCTCCCTTTCTCTTTTATAAGTGTATCTTTATGATTGTAAATGTATATTTGTTGATGTTTTTTAAATGACGGAAAATAAATACAATACAATACAATGATTGAAGGATAAACAAATATATAAGAACGGACAGTATCTAGACTATCAAAATGGATGATTCTGGAAATTCCCAATACCTCAGCCCAGCTTCTCATTTGGGGGGATTCCAAGCTGTCTGCTACATCTTTTGTTGTGAAATTGTGAAATATCATGACAAGATTTCTCCCGCTCTTGGCGTAGACCCACACAATGGTTTATTTTCGCGCGTGTCGGCTGAGAGGTTCCGGAGCCACCTTTCCAATAGAAAATAGTATACCTACCTTGAATAATGTTGATTCAGAATGTCATTATATTATTTGCAGCGTCTCTCGAGGTAGCATATGTATTCGTTATATAAATGATTTCTCTTAATCGTCTGACATATTGTCGTTCATACTATTCGCCGATGATACTACTAATTTATTTATATTTCTCACATTTATCCACTTAATTTATCAGAAACTATTGATATTCAACTATTAAAAATTTGAGCGAACAAATTATCTTTGAATTTTCAGAAAACTTAATATATATGGTCTTTAGTTAATCAATAGATTATTTGCCATTAAATATTATGTTTGATAATAATGCGTTAGAAGAGGTGCCTCATACTACATGTTTGGGATTAACTGTCGATAATAAACTTTCATCGAAATGTCATATACTGATAATATTTGTTAACCATTTCGCGTAATATTGGAGTAATAAATAGATTTAAAAAACTTGTCTCCGAATATCGTCTTTTTAATGTTATGTAAACTAATCGTTAGTATTGCCATACCTGAATTATGGACATCTTGCTAGGGGGAATACGCACGAATGGTTGTTAGGTGTTTTTTTTTTATTCTTGCGTTAATTACTTAATTTGTTATGACATTATTTGTAGAGGGGTCCACGCTCTACACGTCATGCTTTTTAGTGGATCCCTCCATTTTCACCTGACATATTAAATAAACAGCAACATCTTTATTTTCCTTCTTTATTTAGATTGTATGATTTGGTTAATTTATAGTTCCTTGCAACTTAATTAAGAATAATATAAATAATGATTTTGTTATGCAAAGAAAAATGAAATGTACACTTGTGTAATTACTTTTGTATACCTTTTTAACAATTTTTTTGTTATTTATTTATTGTATATAATTTTAATTTTCGTTCTTAAAAATTGAAATAAAAATTTGAACTTGTAACTCTCAACTTAGAGGGTAGACACTTTCGTTTTGAGAGCATGATAATTCTAAGAACGTATGAATGTGGGCCAAAATGGGTATGTCGGTGAACCATAAATGCCGCCTTATTTGGATGGGGAAATAGCAAAATAGTCGTAACAAAGGAATGTGGAATTTTAAATGTTTGTATCAGCTCACTAAGTGCCACATGACGTAGCTACAGAGGCATGGGGGAATACTCCCCCCCCCCCCTCGAACGGCGATTAAAAAAAAGAACAATAATTCTAGAAGTGGAAAAAGGGGGAGGAAAACCACACAAAATAATGATCGAATCTTCTACACCCCGCCCATTTGATGACTTTGTCAGGACACCTATAAAGTCCGTAGGACCAACCACTATTGACCTCACCCCCCTCCCCCTCGCTACCATAAAGTAAATCCTTGAAGCTAAATGTGCCTTTTTTGGTGGTAATGTAGTCATATTTAAGGCACAAATCTCTATTAAGTGCTCTGTTACGAATAATTGTGATTCAATGGTCAGAATGTGAAATACATACATTTGTTGCTAGGTATATAGGAAAAACATTATGGCCTTTCCAACCTCACAACACGTAAAGTATGCTATTCGCATTTTGACTTCAAAAATACAATTATTCGCTGCGGGTGAATGAAATGATAAGTAACGAGGCACTTAACAACATATTCTTTGCATTAAATTTGATTACATTACGAAAATGGTGTATTACTGGGCCCATGATTGGCCACTGTCAGTGACACGATTTAACTTAGACCTACATGATTTGTAATATTCTCGCCGTTTCTAATTGTTTAGGCAAAATACTTGTATAAGGTTTCAGAAATCGCGGTCTAAATTTATCTCTTTTTTTAAAGAATCAAGTGGCACAGTTATGGCTAAAACAGGAAAAGAATTAGGCCGACTCCGTTCCCTAAAACTATGGTTGGCATTTGATGCTATGAAGATCGATCAAAAGTTGACTTGTTGACCAATCAGAGAGCCGAGGTCAACTACTTTTGTTATTAAACCACACGCCCGAAGCATGTTCTTTCGTTATGCTACGGTCACAAAGGTTCGTACGAACGATAATTTCGTGCGAATCTCCCTGTTTTTCCATTGTCTTCCCGAATTTCCATTGTCTAAAAATCGTTCGTACGGCGTTTGTAGCAGTTCGTAATGGCATTTGTGACCGAGGCATAAAATACAAGATGATTTTCCAAAAATCATCAAACGATCCGGTTGCATGTTTAGATCGCAAGCTCGAACTCTCTACAAAAAAACAAAAACAATATTACTATTTCTAACTTGAATTCCCAAATTTTTGACGCAGTAAAATCGCTTCCCTATTGATGCTTTTATTTACAAAATAGTGGTAATTGCACATTTTTCATACCTTCACAGGAAATCAAGAACAAATCAAAGAAGCCTGACACTCAACAATCATGAAGATCATCGTTGCCATACTCTTTGCTCTCTCAATCGTTAGCGTGACAGGCCGGTCAGGGCGCGTTCGGCCCGATCCTACCGAGTTTAGTCTACTTGACGCCCTGCAATACGCTTGCACGGACATTCTTCCTGGATTGGATCATTTGAACTATTTCAGTGATCACTTTAGCGATTTGAAGATTGGACTGCAACCCATATGCACCGTCTTCCAAGAGGCTGGCGGTCCTTCCGAATTTGACGCTACAGCATTCTGCATTTTCGTCGGCGATTATCTCCAGCTCGGTGGCCTAGACCTGTTACACTATCATGGTATTGGTTCTGAAAGTAAGCTGGAAAGGCTAGCCTTCTTTTTCAACAGAATCTTTTCCAATACCACCCGAAACCTATATGGAATCGACCTCAGCAACCTCACAACCATCTGTCCCAACGCACATCGGTTATTTCAACCTCCTCTCCAGAAACTCCTTGAAGAATCAACGAAAGAGTATTACACCGAGCTGCTAACCGCCCTCATCCCCGAGATCAAATTCATTTGCCAGGACTGGAAAAGATACTTTGCTAGTTTGGGCGTGCCGGACGACTCTCCTTACCAGCAGTTGGTGGGTAGTCTTGTAGACATCGTTCCGGAACTTATGGGGCTTCGAAGTTATGAGAGCCTGTGTAAGCAGTTGAAACCATGGTTAAGTCTAGGTAAATGAAGCTCAATTAACTTTAAAGCCCCACTGCCTTATAACTTACTTATAGCTACTTGCGCCCTCTGTATAGCAAACAATGCATAATCGGTGACCCTTGGTCCCCCACGATCCCCTTTTTCTTATGGTAATTGAGAGCTGATTTGATGAGATAACCACCTATCAGTGATCAGGTTTAATCCCTCCTGGCCAAACTAGTACAGTGGGGCTTTTAGGGAAAAAATCTATGAAATTTATTTCTTATTTTCATTTTATGTCCCATTCTTTCTTTTTTGAATAATTAGAGCAATTGTTACATGGAAATTACTTGTTAACACTTGGTCACCCATTAACAGAAAGTCGACTTAGTCAAGCCAGGCTTAACTTAAGCCGATTTCGAGAGTATGTGCCTTTTCGTTTTAATGGTGTATCTGGTTTTGTTCATCCTTCTACTCCACAGATTATGCTAGTCGGAGGTCGATCTCCAGTACGTTCGTCAACCTGATGAATGAAAAGTTGTAGTGCTCAACAACCGATTCATCCTCCCATGCCTCTACAACTAGGATCCCAGAACTGGACAGAACTGTGTGCCTCATTAGGCGCCCAACAAGACCGCATTAAGGCCCGTTCAGATATGTCGCGGTGAACCACCGCCAAAAAAGCCGCTGTTTTTCTCCGTGTAAATGAATGAAGACTTAACGTTATCCAAAAACAAGAAAAAGAAATCGCGGATTTGCTGAGGCATATCTGAATGAGGCCTTAGATTACAACTACAAACGCTTTAATTAAAGAGTAGGTTAAGTTCTGGTAGAGGTGAAAACAAGATTTGTGAGCTTTCTCTTTCCTTTCAATTTAGTGTAGAAGAATAACTTTTTGTTAAAAGATTGGTCCCTGAATAGGATGGCTCGACAAACTATGCATGCTATTCGATATGGCAAGAAATATCTAGAGTGTTTAGACTAAACTTTCATGCAACATTTCTTGATATGTTGGTTCTTCTAAAACCACGTATAACCATGGACCTACTACACGTACAGCATAATACAGCAATCTCATGTGTTAAATTGTTAATTACAACCTTTTCCAATAATTGCATCCGAACACTTTCTGTCACAATGCAATCACATGACCGGAATTGAACTTTATTATCTTTAAGTAAAATACGCAGTTGAAGATATATTATATTTTCTACGAGATATACATATATGCCCACTGCAAAGGAGGCTCCATTTTGGCTGACGCATGAATGCGTCAATAATAGATCTTTGGCGCACGATGAGAAAGTCGTTTCGTACAAATGTGGGTGCACTATACACAGTTTAAAAAATTAAAAAAGTATGTTTAATTACTGACGTAAGGGCTATTTTTCTTCCTCGACACAGTTTTGATTAACGAAGGTTATGACGCTTTTAAAGGTCGCCTCGTGATGGGTAGCAGGCATTATCCTACAAAAATGCTATTAAAAGAGTTTCGTCAGCGTTTTTCAACCTTTTCATAGTCAACAAGACAACCTTTACAGAAATAGGGAATAAAAAGTTTCTTGTCACCCCTTCCCAAATTCATAACAGAAGATTCATTTTGCATCACGCTGGTAGTCGTAAGTGCCATATACACGTATGGGCACATTCTTCTTTTTTAATTGCGAGTAACCGAAGCGCGAGCACAACATGCTCGGTCACCTCACGAATATGTGGATATTCGGTCAACTCGTTGCCTAGAATCAGCCTGTTTCTATACATTCCGAGCGAGTAAAGCGAACGAGCATGGTATAATTTATTTTCGATAGAAAAAAAAAGATATATAAGAAATATCCGGACACCTCCCTGTCATATTCTGGCACCCCAATTCCAAAATAACGAGACATTCAGGCACTCAAAATCACAGCTTAAAATCAGATTCTAAATTTTGCGAGCGAGGTAAGTGAGCCAGGTGAAAATAACACTTTTTTTCAAATATTATTTCATAATGAAAATAGATAGCCGTTGATATTATTTTGCTTCACGAATTTGACTTTTATTTAAAAATGCATCAACAATAGATCTTTGATAAATTTCTCTCGCGGCACCCTTATAGGTGTTTGACGTCACGCCGGTCGAAAAACGCATAGTATTCCTATTCCTATGTTTAAAGTAATGTATTGAAATTTAAGTAAATGTGTATTTTAAATTTGTACTAGATTTCCCACGAACTTGCGTGAGTGCGGGTGTGTGTATGTGTAATGTGTAGGCGTGTATGTGTGTGTGTTTGCTTCTAAAGTTGGAGCAGCTTAGACTTTAATGTTAATTAAGATTTATTTTCCTCTCCACCGTGAGCTTGTTAAAGTGTAACTCTACTTTGCAGCCTGGTAACTTATTGAGTATATTTCTGATATAGTGATTAGTTTGTGTGTGTGTGTGTGTGTGTGTTTATATATGTGTGCGAGTGCATGTGTGTGTGTGTTGTGTGGGTGTGTTTGTGTGAGGGAGTGTGGCATGACGGAGCAGGACTTTGTCCTTTGTACCAATAAAATAACCTCCAGATGTGTTAATGTTTTTTTTTATATAGAGTAAATAACATGTTCAATTGATTTATAAATAATGATTATGTACTTCAAGTTCATTTTGTTACTCAGTTAAATATACTGTAAATTATGTTTTGTTCAATTATGTTTATTTATAAGCAATTAATATTGAAAAGGTTTATTTACTTCATTCAATTGTATGTTGTTCTTGTTTGTATTACATTTGGAGGAATAATACAAAATTACCCCCCCCCCCCAAAAAAAAAAAAGTGTGTATGAATGTATAAGTACATGTGATCTTATAACCATATTGTTAGTTACTGACTTGTAAAAGCTCGAAGTTGAAAATCAATACTTAATTAAAGAAACAGTTTAAGTCTCTCTGTAAATATATAAACACGCTTGTAGTCTAGTCTATAGATACAGAACCTTGCCATTACGGCTTTTGAAAAGCGTAGCAGAGGGTCTGAAGTTTTACACTATGTAGATCAATGTATATCATTTTTTTGAAAACATCAGATCCTTAACTTCAAATTTCAGCACAAAATTATCAAATTAATTCAAAATGAGACAAGCCATACAATAAAGAGAAAGGTGAGAATTTAGGAATTTCATTCATTTTGGCCTTATATTATGCAACCATGATTATCATTTATTTGTCGCTTTGAATTAATTTCTCGTCGAACATAAATCTTTAGAATGTTTATTTTCTTTTGTTTTGGTCTGTTTCAATTAAAACGCTTATCCTAAAATAAATTCTTGGTTTATTTCTAATGATTGTTTGCCGATCTTTTTTTCCCTCACATATTTTATATAGCCAAAAAAAAAACGAATTTGGTGAGAGTAAATATTTAACTATTCCCCCCCCCCCCCTCCGAGACCAACAACCGACAAGGCTGTTTGTGGACCTTCTTTCAACTTATTCTGATGATCCACGAGACCGGTGGATCACGGAATCTAAAGCCAGTGAGGCCGACATTGTCTGAGTGCTTTTCTTACGTGTTTCTAAGCCTTTTTTATATTTGTATTTTTTGGTAATATCACCTTTTGGAGCAACTAAAGCAATAACATGGTGCTTACATTAGAAATATTTGATATGATCATTATTGGGAAGAAAAGTTACGTAATAACATAAAAGGCTTACAATAATTTCTAACTTTCTAAATGAAACGAATAAAATTGTAATCTGAAATCTCATATGTACGGATACAGCATAAGCCATAATCCATCACAAAAGTTGACCAGGGCCCCGTCTTATAAACAGTTGCGATAAATCTTATTTGATATTGATATCAATTTCAACTTTGTACATAAGACTGCAAACTTGTGATTGATCAGAGGACGTGCGATTGATTCTAATCAATAGCAACTCTTTTTACGATGGGGCCCAGATTTCCGTTCTTTTCTATATCATGTATATTTTACCGTTTCTATTTCTTTCCTTTTTAATTTCTAAGTTGTTCATTTCCTCGTCTTCTTTTTGCTCTCTCCATTGAGTTTCCTCGTTTTCCTCTTGCTACTCTTTTCATGAATGTTTTTGTGTCTTCAATATTTCATCTCGATTATTTAAATCTTTCATTATGCATTTGTTTTTAATGGTTCATTTAGACCAAAAACCAACGAGACCGCAAATTGTCTTCCTCCCCCTCAGTATTACTTCATTCTGTCGTGGGTAGTTGATCTCCTGGGTTCTCAATATCACTGACTCATCGGTTTGAAATTCGTAAACATTTTGAAACCTTTATTTTTTGTTTTATGTTTCTATTTATGATTTTGTTTAATAATTTTTGGCAGTTACGTGGAGCGGTGAATATAAATGCGTGGGCAAGTACAAGATATTTGCTGTGTCATTGCCGTAAATAAACAGATGAATATCAAGCAACAATTCAAAACTTAAATATTGCCAAATACATAAAATTATTGTCTTTAATCTGATCTAATTTTTTGTTGAGTTTTATACCGGATAAAACCATCGGATAAGCCATCACACCAAGAGAGGGAGAGCGAGAGAGCGAGAGAGTGAGAGAGGGATACAGAGAGAGAGACAGAGAGACAATCATGAATGGCATATTAAGTTGTTTTCAGTCTCATTGGCGCTCTACAAATTGGCCTTTATCCTGATGTAACCTAATTTATGCATATTTAAAAGGAATTGAATTGAATTTATTTTCTCCAACATACAAATCAAATTGCACTTCAAAAATACAATATATGCAATATATAACAACTTTTTTGAACGTGAATACAAAATATTGACAATATATGATGTCATTAAAACAAAATGTAAACTGAGAACCGCTCGCTATTCATATGGACAGCTATTAATAAGGACGATATTCATAATTTCAGAAAAAGAGTCATTATTCATAAGTGCCATTATGAATAGCGCCCCTTCTTTATGATTATGAATAGCGACCCCCATGTTGCATTATGAATAGCGGTCCTTATAAGTAATGACCCTAAATGTGACTAATGAATAGCGGTCCTTATCAATAACGTACGTCCTTATGCCTTTATGAAAAGTGACCCCCTTTCCGTTTGATGAATAGCGGTCCTTCACGTATAGGAAATTACACGTGATGAATAGCGGTCATCGGTCCTAGTGAGGTTACCAGCAAGGGGCGGAACCAGCCGGTGGCAATGGAGGGGCCCGATTCGTGAGAAAATATTTAGCGGCGAATCAGCCAGCCGGTGAAAAAGCGGGAGGAAGAAGTGGGGTACGGATCACTAATTTTTGTTTGCTCAACACCCCCCCCCCCCTCACCCCCTTCAGCACACAAAAAAACTAGTACTTTTTTTTTTTGTCAGGGGATGGGGTTCGTCTTTTTTTTTGTTTACAAGGTAAGATTAACGTGTTTTTACCTGTTATTTTTTCCAGCGGAGTGGCTTCGCCCCTTCCCCCCCCCCCTGATCCGCCACTGCCCCGCCACTGGATGGGGAGGCGGGAAGACTTTTTGAAGCGCCTCTATAATCATGAATGTATCTAGTAGTCAAAATTCAAAAAAAGTATACATTAGTTTTTGCTAGGTAGGTGAAACGTCTTGGCTTGTCATCCCTAACACCACTTGCAAAATATATTCTGAGTATTGAAATACAATTATTCGTAAACATGTGTAACATGTGAATGAAAAAATTCGTATCGGGGCACTTAAGTATGAATTTGGTTACGATACAAAAATGGCCTATTCCGGGATCGAATTGGATGGATGATGGATGATGCCAACGTAGGGGACAAAATAGGCTATCTCAGATTTGCCCGTATTTCGTCTGATATGCCGAGTGCAGATGGCGACAGCAAATATAACGAATATGAGTGAGTTTTCTCGTTTTGCTTTTTCTTATTATGTCTGATTCATTTTGGCGGTTTGTGTTTTCTTTTTGTTTGTGTGTGTGGGGGGGGGGGGGGAGTGCGAGTGTAGGTAGGGTACATATACACGTATGTATGTGTATGCGTGCGGGTGTGTGTGCGTGCGTGTGTGCGTGTGTGCGTGTGTGAGTGTTTGTGTTTATCTAACATATGTTATTTTAGCCTCGTTTAAATGATAACAAAAATTGTTTTAAATATATTGTTTCTGTTTGTCTGTAGCTCCAATTAGGGGTATTCTGGGGGGGGGGCTAGAAACAATGTGTGGTGGAAGTGTGGTCGGGTGGTGTGTGTGTGTCGCATGGTGTGGAGGGGGGGGAGTAGTGTGTTTGATTGGATGGGGATATTTCCCGGCCCCTCCACTCAGTATTATTTAGGATACGCATATGCATGTTCCCTCCTTTTGAAAACTTCCCTGAAGTCCGGTGTGTAAAGTCTTTTTTGCGAATGTAAGAGCCGGACTTTGGTTCGTGAAAAGTACCCCTTTACCAGACATTTGGTAACACGCATGATATCCCTCCGTTCACGGAGTGGGGGGGGGGGGGCCGGGGTTATTTGTTTTAAGTTACAACTGATTTCATTTTTGTTTTCATCAATTGCCCAATCTATGTAATGAAAATGTTTTGAATTCATGTCAAGGAAAAACAACTGTATTTTATTTCGAAGATTTGTTTGTATGGTTTGGAGAAAAAAAATTAAAAAAACTATTGAAAAAAAAGCATTGCTTATCAAATAAGTATGACCAACTTTTATAGCTCGTTCTTTCCTGTAGGAATAGGTTGCTATCCGTTTCTGATGTTATATGTCTTTACTTTTCTCTCTTTGGGTATAAATAATTTAGTTGTTAACTGTATATGTTTGGTTTACATTCGTCTCTGGATCCCTCTTCATATCTCTCTCATTGGCGATTCCTATGTTCTCTGCAGCTAGCTCCTCTTAAACCTCCTTTTCACTCCCCCTAATATGCCTCCTATATCCTCCTCCTTTTAATTCCTTCCTCTTCTTCCTCCTCCTTCTCCCCCTCCTTAGGAGTACTTAAACATGAAGAGGCCGTTGGAGGGGGTGAGGTTGAGGTTATGGCATTCATTTTCTACACGTGCCTCGTAATTTTCTTGGGAGAGCTAGAGGAGTCCCCCTCCTTACATCGTGATAGTGTAACATAGACAAAATAAATTCTGAATTACCCTACAATCAAACAAACAAGAATCAAACTCAGTCAAAAAACGAACAGTAAAAACACCAAACTGATTGAATTGAGAACCTACAAATAAATGGAGCTGAACAGAAGTATTCGAAATAAAATACATTGAAGAGAAGAAGTCTAGAAGTGCTCTGATTTATTTTGCCTGCACTACAAACCTCACCTTCCTTGTTTTTACAAAACATATTCAAATATATTCAAATGAATGGGCAAGTACCCAATAGAAGAACAGAAAATAAAAGAACCCATAAATTTGAAGAACCAAGGGTCAAAGGTGAACTAATGAGAACGGGACGAGGATGAGTCAGGGGTAGTCTCCGGAATTATAATGAAGGATGAAGGCAAGGGATAGGAGCTAGGTGAAGGAGATGCAAATAAAATGAAAATTAGATAAATGGCATAAACAACTGAACAGGATGACAGGAAAACAACTTGAAGAACTAAGAACAACAGAAGTCGAAATGAGGTTATTCACTGCACTGCAAGTCACTCTTTTTTTTTATTGTTGTATCTAAGTTGAGGGCTGCGTGCAAGTCAAGCTACTTTGCTTTATGTAGCCCTCCTGCATTACAGCGGATAAGCTCCCAATATAACGAGAATTGTGCACTTTTTGAGAAAAGCATGAAACTTCTAGCATAGTTAGTTTAGACCA